CGTTTAACGCGCCACAAACCCATGATATCCGACTCATATTACTAATGCACTTTTGAACAAAAGTAAGGCTGGAAGTCTTGGGCCACGTGGTGACAGAATAAAAGCTATTCACACATTTTGAGCGCAGTTGACGTGCTTCTGAGAAATTAAAAATTTATGTCTTCACCTCTTGAGTTAGCAAGACAAAGTCTTAATGTAACCTAGTTAACCCTGTATATGCCACCAACTCATCTAGTCACATCATTTCTGCATCTTCATTCCTTTCGCGTGGTTTTTCACCATTCACTCTTTCTAACTTAACTTTTTAATTAACTTTATTTGCTTCAGCGTTTAATGTACTCTAGATTATCCCATAGCTATTCTGGAACCACTGATTTTAGTTTAGGGACAGCGGCGCTGAAAGGATTTAGAAGCGCAGTAATTTAGTATAAAATACCTACTGAAATCATGGTAGCCATTTTGCGAAGACCGAATCAGACCTCAGCAGAACAGATCTTCAAGGAATTTCTAGTCAGCCAGGAAGATCGCAGGTTTCAAAGAAGCGTTCATTTTAATGCAAATTTTTATCGTCTTTATTCCAACTCAGTCACGAAAGTTTTTCTAGCTAGAAATTAAGGCTGCCCTTTATTTCCTCTATGCTCCACCAATATACTGAGGGTTGCCTCCAAAAAGTATAGCTCAATATTGAAGTCGTTTAATCAAAGTCGAAAACAGACGGTTCGGGCAACTTTTGCAAGCTTTCCTAGGACATTATTAAACTTTCCACTTCTGTCTGATGTGCCTTTTCAAATAAGGATATACTGTAAACTAATCCAATAATTCCGGCATATGGTCACCTGCTGATAACCGCTTAGGGACATCGAATAATTGCTAAGATGATCATCAGTCCCATTGACGTTTACACTGGCTTTTACATACGTAAATAATTTGACCAGGGTGTCTGAGACGTTTTAAGGTTGGCACACCACTTTCAAAAATCCGCCATTAAATTCTGTGTACACCCTAATACTAGTCGTCGTGACTGGGTCTCTCAGCAGTTCGACGATATCTGGCGGCTAGCAGTAAGTCAGAAAACCTTGCAGGCTAACCGCCATTGCTGGAAATGTACTCTGCTAGTCCAAGTCCGCCTTACAATTTTTAGCTTTCGGTAAGTTTTTGGGTTGTGTTGCATTTAAGGCTCAAATTGGCTCTTTTTCCTTCAACCCTGTTTAAGCCAACGACATAAAATTAACTCGACCTTTACGGACATGCACTGATAAATGGGCTTTAATTTCTGTCTACCCAGTTGTAATCCCAAAAGTAGAGGCATGCTGATTTTAATGCACTCATAAATCCTTTTCATGCTAACACAACTCCTTCTACTCGGAGTTTTTCAAACGAACTAGAGTGGGCAGTTATACTTACATACAATATGGAGGTTGCATTCCTACCCCGTCCAATTTTTTCCTAAATGTGTCTGATTACCTAGAGGGATCATGCAAGATTTTCCATGTCCCCTACTATGCTAGTATGCACGCCACCACTTAAGACTTCCGATACCCTAGTTTTCACCAAGTTAACTTGTTGCAGTCCTCACTTCCGATCCTCGGGAACATCCATATCTTGTAATTTATGTGGCCTTCTTGTGATGACTTATGCACAACTTTCGCTAAGCCAGTGACCCACAGACAACAAAACATCAGGCTCATGGCAATGAAGGGAACTAAGGTGTTTGAAACTCGCGTCTCTCGAGGCACTTGGCCTGCGCTTTGGAACTGGTTTGTCTTGATCTAGATTGTTTATTGTAAGTTTATACGGAAAATTTTGCCAGTAAGTTCCTAAGGGGATTACCGCATTACCAGTTGATTTCGGCGAGTATACGTCGAACTAGGTTCCATCCGTCAAATCTTGCATGGTATTTTTTCGCAAGTTCACATTTTCAGAATTAGTTTTCGTTCATCCGGAATGCTGTCTTGCACCTCACCTCATCTCAAACCATTACATTTCGGAATGCCGCTTACTGTGACTGCTAATGGGGTAAGATAGATTAACCGAGTCTAACAAAGTCGTCGTCGGGTAACAAGCACAATTTTCGATTATATTTGTTTGTCATGTCGAAGTCGCTGTTACGGTCGGGTAAGCTTCAGCGGTTCACTACTCCATTGCTTCATTATCTACTGCCTTTATTCAATTTAGACTGGCACACAGCTATGATATTTGGCTAGCACTTTTTGGCATTAATTAATTAGACGCCCAGCTACACCCCACTAAATCTAAACCTGGCTTGTTGAAATTAATCAGTGTAGTTTCATGGCCAAGCCAAAGAACTCCAACCCTTTCTTAAAGTACTGTGACTAATTTTCGTTGCCTCGATCGTCACATTCCTTATTTTTTTTTCATAATATGTTCTATGGCTACGATCGTAAGCAGACTTTCGAAGTTTAAAGGCAAGTCATACAACTAAAGATGGAAAGGTTTATTTTTCAGTCACTCTTTCGTCGTCAGCCGTCCCCCAAACCATGCAGACTAACAAGAGATTCAGTCAGCTAGTTTCATGTTCAAAAGGCTTTTATTTTATCCACGCGCTCTTTTCCCGTCACTATAGCTGATTTTAAGTTTTCTGATACGCATTCAAAATTGTTCAGGTTGATATCCAAAAGGAACTCTATTCTTTCGTCCCTTTGCTTGCATTGCCTACAATCATTTCCTATTTTTGTAGTTACTGAGACAACATGGCTAACGAATCAACCACAAAAAAGATTTTGGAGACACAGCTTTATCGTGCTGTTCAGGCCATTGAAGATACTGTTGATGAGGAAATTGCCAAAATCGAGAAGATGGATGAAGACGATCTGGAGAAGCTCCGCCGTAAACGCCTCGATGAGTTGAAGGAGAGAGCTCAAAAGAAGGAGGCTTGGATAGCC